CTGGAGCATCTTTGCGCCCTCACCCCTTTACCTTACGATTTTATGATTTATGATTTATTACCGGCAAACGAGTTACAATGGTCGAGATAAATAACACTATATAAGAACAAAACTCCGATAAGGTAAAAAAAACTCATGGTCAAATAAGAGATATAGCTGCGAAGCAATGAGTGGAGAGGTAGTCAGCGCAGAAGGGCAGTGGGCCGCCGACACTGCAAGTCCATGGATACTTTTGTGGGAAGTCCGGATACCAACTTAGTAGGTCCGCCAACTTTGCTGACTTAGCTGAGATCCAACTCCACTTGCAGCAGATAGGGTGGAGAGGAAAAGATATGTAGTGACATTAGGTACATCAAACAAACAAAATACAAAAACTCGTTCACATCAGTATACAAAAATACTTTGAATCATTCATGTCCACTACAAAATCGCCTCTCGATCTGTTCAAAATCGCCTCTCGATCTGTTCAAGTTTAGTGTGGTTTAATTTCTGCTCTCAGAACCAACCCTGGGATATCATAATTTGCCTGACTTTGTTCCTGAAGGCCTTAGAGGAGCTCGAGTCAACAACATCAACCGGTTGATCGTTCCAGAAAGTGATAACTGTTTCTGTAAAAGAATTTCGAAACTCAGTTGATCTTGTTTTCTCTCTCATTATCCTAAAGTTGTGACCCCTAGTACGGCCAAATGTTGAAGATTTTGTAAAAAAGAGGTCGAAATCAAAAGTAGGGGCGCACATATGCAGCAAAAAGCTAAAACAAAGTTTTCATATTTCTGGAAGAGAATTGCATTTCAAAGTATGACTCGCCTTACATTGCGCCATATGCACTGCTTTGGTAATGTACTCATTGAAAGATAAAGACTTGGAATATAAAATGCATAAGTCCTTGAGTGTATCCGGTTCCTTTAGCTCAACACCCTCGAATGAAAATTTGGGAGACGAGGAGCAGTTGGGACCCAGTCGAGGGCAACCGTTTTCTCCGGAGAAACTGCAAGTCCCCATTTTTTAGCCCAATCAGCTATGCCATCAATAGCAGCTTGCATTAGGAGAGGTTTTCCTGTGCAGTACACCTTGACATCGTCCGGCACACATAACATAGCACATCGGATGAATACAAACCTGGCAAGTCATTAATGTACATAATAAACATCAATGGACCTAAGCTTGAGGAACAAGGATCTTGCTTAGGTCCATTGATGTTTATTATGTACATTTCCATTTTATTATGTACATTTTACGCCGCGAAGCTGGCTCAATGTGCTCGTTGCGAAGCACAATACCTTTCCCCACAGTTTCTTGCACTTTCATAGGCCAACATGGATAGTGCCTTTAAGTGCCTGATATTTGAGTTACTTCAATAAAAATTTTTGTTGTGCATGTATGTGCACAGAAAAAAGGCTGACCATGACTCCTTCAATCGAATCGACCAATTTGTAGCTGCGCAAAGTGACGAGATTAAAGACCTAAGGTAAAACATCCCTGCATTCCTTGTTCAAGCACGAGGTCGTACGTTGGGGATCCTCAGCAGAGGGGTCATATTTGATCGGATGTCATACATGAAACACTCGTCGTACGACTAACTAGGGAGGTCGCTCAGGACGATAAGTACAGTATTCTCCACAGTGGGGTTTGCCCTTGAACTCCGATAACATCAATAGTTTGGTGTTCTAAGGCACTTTTGCGATAAACCAAGACTGACTAGGGAGGTCGCTCAGGACGTGGCGCGCTTTCTGAAAACGGTTTTTGCATGATGTAGGGGCACGTTCATGGACTAGCAATCTGACGTTCATCTTTCCTAAATGGCTCTGGGAATATAAAAAAAAAGTAGTAAAAAGAAGTTCATGGGAACCGACTGGTTCTGAGCATCTGTGAGCACCAAATCACTTGCAACTTTGACCAGTTGCTGAGTGGAGGGTCCTTATAAAAGTACTATTCGAATCGAGGAGGAAAAACAGTTGCAAATGGGCTCATACTTGTGGCACCTGATCAGGAGTGGACGGCTCGTTGGAATGATTTCTTCAAAGATCCGAGCGGTGAGCATCACCAACGAGTTGGCGGTTTTTGCATTTTTTTTAATGTTTCGCTATTCTCGCTTCCATGGAAGTCTGTGCATGGGTATATGGATATTTGCAGTTCATCGCCAAATTCTTAATGCTGGTTTCCCGTAACTCGGTACTATTACTACTTTCCCATACCATTGCGCAAAGCTGTTTGTGAAAGTTGATTTTTTCGGTGGTGTGATCGTGAATATGGTACTTAATTTTACCTGTGGTGCCATTTGTCTCCGATTTGGATCCACATCATTCTCTCACTGAATTCATGATGCACACTCATGTAAGGGCGTTTAGCGATACACTTACCGCCAAATTGCGTCGGCGCCAAAAACAAGTCAAACCCCGCCCGCGCTGTCCTATTAAAATCCTTCACGCTATCCACTAGACTTACGATCGTTGCAGCTCCTTACCGCTCCGATAGTTGAAGAACCATACCAAGGAGCCGTTCATTATTAATCATGTGCCACAAATAAGACCTCATGTGCCACTGTATTTCTCCTTGATTCCAATGGTGCCTTCATAAGGACCCCCCACTCAGCAACTGCTCAAAGTTAAGTGATTTAGAGCCCATGGAAGCTCAAAAACAATCGGCTCCCATGGACTTCTTTTCCACTCCTTTTTTTGATATTCCCAGAGCCATTTAGGAAAAATGAACGTCGGTTTCCTAGTGCAGTTTAGTAAACGTGCCTCTACATCATGCAAAAAACCGTTTTCGAAAAGAGCGCCACGTGCTGAACGAAATCCCTGGTATGACCTCTCAAACGTGCACGATAAAAAGGTAGGCACCCGCAGAGGCCGTACTATATGCAAAAGTTGAAAACGGGGAACCAGAGCACAGGGCGCTTCGGTTTTAGGCCCATGGGCGCCGTATAGGCCCATGCCGGCCATCGGTGCCCATGTCGTTGTGGCACTGCCATTGCGCTTTCTCGCACTTCGGTTTCTGGCCTCTCTCTCTCGCTCTCCTCTTGTTAGTGTATCGTTCCTCTTGCAATTCACAATTAATTTTGTCCATCTTATGCTGCTCCAGTGATCACGATCAGTCGCAATAAACAGGGTCTTATAACGGCCGGTTTTTCCCAGCTTCCTTCTCCTTCAGCTGCAGTCGTGGAATTTGCCTGTGAACTTCATTCTCTTGCTGTGCAAACGCCGGTGACTGTGGTGCGGTATCGAAGTGCAGGCTACGTTATCCGTGAACAAGATCTTTAGTGTCATGGGGGTTTCGCCTGATAATGTTACAGTTTCGAGTTCGGCGACGAGGTGGGGGTGCTGCATACTGTACTTCTGGATCATCTAATGGACGTGTCGAGCTATCAAGTGGAAACCTGCGGAATCTCGGAAAGTCATGAAACTATGTCAGCCAAAAGAGATTTGTAGAACCCTGTCAACACTTGTTAAGAATATCTGTCAACTTTTGTATTAACCATGGTGGCTTTCGATCTCGCTTCAGCTTTACAAGAGTTACAGGTTTTACCAGAGTGAGACTTGTGATGCGGAACTAGTGAAGCAAAGTGCCCCCATCCGAAATAAAGTGCCCCCATCCGAAACACGCGTTTTTAGTTTTTGCTGCGAACGTGTGATAAAAAGGATACCAGCCGGCTTCGCCGGCTGATGCCGTGGACCTTTATCTGAGATACGGCACGGCTTCGCCGGGCGGGCGCGACTCCACCACGCTTACCTTTTTCCACACATTTAATTACCCGCCTAGTATTCGGCTTCTCTTTCACCTAATGGGTGATCAACATTATTCCACCAATAGCACCATACCTCAACTTTCAACACTATTACGGTGCATGAAATGGTGAAAAGGAGGGTTGATGAAGTGGACAGGTGAGAGGAAAGCCGGGTATTATTCCAGCATTTGACTTACGAATGCAGTAGGCGCGAAGGAGTCACATCCCGCAAGGCCGGGCTGTATCACAGAGGTCTGGAGTGCCTCGAGTGCTCTGGGAGCGCTTGAGCAATTTCTGACACTGGCCCCGCTCTCCTCAACGCACGCTTCGCCCACAGCGTGTGCCTCACCCTTTTCAACTGATAACCCTTCGCTGATCTTAAACTACTTTCTCCCGGTGTCTGGAGTGTTCTAGAACCGTTTTGCTAATTTCTTTATTTTGGCTCCACCAATCTCGGAGCACGCTCCGTCCACAATGGAAGTGCCTCGCTCATTCCTGCATGTGGTCACTTGGAGGCCATAATCTACTTTTTTCCGGCTCTGTGCTCAGAACCAAACTACGGTTTTTTTCAAAATGGTACCTCGTGTTCAATTGCACGCCCCACCCAATGGCGGGCCCCAGCATGTCGCAAACATAGCTGCCAGATGTTCATCTTCGTCATGGAGTTTTTTGCGATCTTTAAACGTTTTCGGGAACCGAGTCACCTACCTTTATGGGAAGCACCGCCCATCTCAAGAACGCCCCGCCCATCTCGGGTGTGTCTCCTCTATTTGGTCGGTCAGCCCTTTGTTAACTTCACCGCACTGTTCCCTCACCTGGGGAACTGCTCTGGAACGAGTTATGACTTTTTCAGTGACATCGCCAACTTTTTGACGCATGCCCCGCCCACTGTGGGCGAGGCTTACCATTGGTCATAAGTGCTATTCAGGTTTTGCCCGTGTGTGTCTGTCTGTCTGTTTTCACGGAATTCATAGCACCCGAACAAGAAATTGGAGGGATCGGATCCTGGTGGGGACCCGATCCCTCCAATTTCTTGTTCGGGTGCTATGAATTCCGTGAAAACAGACAGACAGACAGACACACACACACAAACACACACATGGACATAGCCGATTCTATTAGTAGGGTATTCCATTGAAAAAGGACATTTATACAGAAACTCTGTAATACCTCCTAGGCTTCACAATGACCTGAGTCTTACATTTGAAATAACTCTTTATTTTTAAAAGAATTGTGTTTTGTTGTTAAAATGTTGGATCCTACTATGGCACTTCTCCTAATTTTTCTTTTCTGAATTGCTCTTTTCAGATAAGGCGTCGGAAACATTTTGCGCAACGATATCCAATGGCGCGCGTATAATAGAGCTCTCTCGAAGTGGAAGTAATCGTATGACCTCTTTGAGAAGGTCAAGATATTGTGTTGTACTCGCTTCCTTAGGGAAAGGTATCTGAAACACGTGAGATCGGACGAAATCAATACATCTACTTTGTCTGTTCAACTAACTTTCCATCTCAGCATCTGAGGACAGGAAGACGTGTTTGGGAGCGAAGATGCATGCGGGAAAGCTCTTCTTATGGTGTCGATAACCTAAACTCGAACTATGACACTAATTTTAAAAGCAAGTGGTCCGATAAATTGCCATCACATGTGGGATTGATACGCTTAGCAAGACAGGTTTCCGCGCCCCTAGACAGGTGCTGCGTGGTGTCTTTTCCAACAAAGGTACCTTTATTGCGCCCTGTCAGGATGCAACATACCGACCCGGACGTCCACCGACACCAGCCCCGCCCACAAATGGACTACCGTACCTGATGCTCGTATTGCTTCATTTGCGAAGTAAAATATGTAGCGAAGAATTGAGTTGAAGCGGCTGTGGTGCAGCACGGATATATGAGTACGTACATGCAGTCGTATCTACCGGTTACTGACAAGACGTCAACGGGAAGTTCGTCCAGAATTGCTTTCATAGCCGTGTAGAACAAAGCCTTTTGCAGGTTTTTTGACCGTTTCACTTCGCTTTTTCGCCATTCCCCACTATATAGCACCTCTGCTACCATTTTAGATCGAGGACCAAATTATCGTGCCTTGTTCTTTCGAGAAGTTCTTGCATTTCGCATTAAATTGGCAAAAATATCGTACCTCGCTTTTGTCGTATGCTGTCGCAGGGCACAATTCGATGACGACAAAATTTCCTATATCTGAATTCATATTGGTTACGCTCACAAACGAGCACTGCGACAACTGGCACTGGCATATGGCGCGTTTCGTAGTTGGGAGGGGGACGTTTTCGCAAGTGCTCAGGGTCAGACGCTTTAGGTATGAGCAATCACCTCATTCTCAGTCTTCATGTTTTTGTAAACTCATTATCATTAGCAATGATCAGTTCTGAGACACACTGTACACTCCGAGCACGGTCCGTGCCATGTGTGAAGTGAATGAGACCGCAGCTGCAGTAGCGTGCACTTTTACCATGCACGGAAACGCAGCTGTAGAGTAGTGGTACCAGAGTGCCGTCTAAATACTCGCGCACTCCTCAAGACGGCTTATTTGCTCCATGGGCAACTTGAGCTCAATCCCTTCAAATCAGGTTATCTTTCTATTGCTCTCTGCGCTCTCACGTCTGCATGACATTTTATGTCCGCTATGACTACACCTTTTAAGTTTTCACTCATAGTGTTGATCCATGATGAAGTACCCCTCCCTTTGGAGAAGCTCAACTTCTACCTATAAAGATGTTTTGTGAAGTTTCCAACAACGTGATAGCCGCAGCCCTCTGTTCCTCTGCACTCTGACCTCCCCGCGACCTCCACCAGTAGTTCTAGTTCACGTAACTACTTGCGCCGTTATCGTGGTACCACAGCGAAACGCGCACGCAGCGGTAGAAAATAACAGGAAGTCAGAGGTGCAGACAAGTGGCGTGTTTGGTTACGGTTAGGCGTGTGGCTGACTGGCAGCAGGCAGAGTGTGGAAATAAAGCGACTAGGATCCAAGCAGATGAGGTTACAATCTGCCTTAAGTTTGCCTTTGGCGGGTCAGATGTAAAAGTGTACCTGCCACTTGACTGGCTCTAAAATAAAAAAGCGAAGGTAATCGTAGAAAACGCTCGGTACCATTTTTTTCTCGGTGATAAGCGAGAGACAAAAAAAATCGATGTGGTTTTCGGGGAAAGGCTAGACAACAGCGGCGCGAGAGCACGCAAACGAGTGAGACGAACGATAAGATATTAGCGTGGGCCGAGTAACGGGCTTTTGGGCTGAGTCACTCGTGCAACCTTATACCTTACCGCTGCTACCTTAAAAGTTTTTGACGCAAAACTTGTACAGGGTTGATTCTTGCGGTTTTCACTATCTTCCCCTTCGAAGAGCATAGATACTCGTAGGTAATCGTGGACTGTGTCTTCATGATGAATGTTATTACGTTCATTGAGGGTTTCACTGGTTGAGGTTGTCCCTAACTCCTGGTTGAATGATCAGTACGAACTGAACTTACTAACAACTAACACAAGGAGTTTGCGGGTAACTTTTAAGAAGACATAGGTCCACTAGATCGAACTCCTCCAAGTAACAATAACACATAGTTACCTCCTCTTCAGTTGCTGCACAGTAGCAACTGTTAGCAACCTCCCACTATAAACAATGCCGACCCGATCACACAAAACTTCGCATTCCTCCGCCGAATCAGTTGCAAACACGATGGCTCGACCTTGACGTTGAGCCGCACGCATCGCATTCCAGGTGAAACGTCGGGTCTTGAAAATTAAAATATTATTATTCGGCGAATTGTAGAATTCTGCTTCCTTACTCTGACATCTACTCCTTTTGTGGGCAATTCAAAGGCTAATACCGGTGATCTGGATAACATAGCAGCGGCAACATTTACCCGCCTTCTGCTCATGGCACTGAAAGTTTGCTGCAGTAAAAACTGAGATTAAGTTGCTGAGAATGTGATAGCAGTCAGAAAAGGTAAAGGCCTTCATTAATTGCTTCCAGTTTTTTTTCTCTGCAACATGACCTTTATCATCCCACTACGATGGCTTGATATTGAGAGAGACAAAGGGGGCACGATCGCACCATCACTTAGCAGTTGAAAATGAAAGGTAGACGTTGCTGTGGCCACTAGGCGAAGTCGTAGCTCAGTCGCGAGCAGGTCGCGCATACTGCATATCGCGGAAGAACCGCGATGCCTCGATCACAGATCGATAGCCGCGGATCAAATGCCGAGGAGCGCGTCAAAGCGGGCTATAAATAGCGGGAGCAGTCCAGCGGCTCTCACTGTCAGTGGTAAAACTCTCATCGTCCCTTTGCGAATATACGATGCGATAGCAATACAGAAATCTCTAGAGTTCTCCTAGTTTTTGGACGGTGTTCTCTTTATGTGATTATGTGATGTGAAGTCAGTATCATAACTCTTCCCTCCATTTTATTTTACAATGTATCCTACTATATATAATCCGCTAAGTGTGTCTGTTGGTGTGTGTGTGTGAATGTTTGTCTGTATGTGTGTTTGACCGGAAATTCATAACTTTCTTCAAAGCAGCGATAAAGCGCTCAAATTGATAAGTAATGTAAGGGGTGGGGCAGGAACATTATTGGTGGGTGGCAGGAAGAGATAACAGTTGATAAGATACCATGAGGAGCCTTAGAAAGGGAGGGGCATCAACTTCATAACGCGCGTTACAGCAACGATGGTTCCAAGAAGTAAGATAGGAGGCAGGATGGGAACATCAATGGTGGGTGGCAGGAAGTGATAACAGCTGATAAGATACCACGAGGAGCACTAGAAGGAGTGGATTACCTTTTTCATAACACCGGCCAGAGCAACGACGGGACGTTGGATCCAAGCACTAAGATAGAGGGCAGGATGGGAGCATTATTGGTGGGTGGCAGGCAGTGATAACAGCTGATAAGGCTGATAAGAGGCGCTGAAGTGCAAAAGTCATCCAGTTGTTTGGTCGTTTCCAGTAAAACGTGGACGTTAGTTCTAAAAAGGATACGGAAGAAGGGAATGGATAGGTGAGGGTATGAATTTAGAGCTACTACGAGGAATTCAGAGAAAAAGGTCATAAGAGCTCTCAATACTAAATACTATATTCCTGTTACTAATGCAGTGCACAATTCTATGCATAATACATGGTGTGAAACCTGGATATGAATGGTAAAAACTAAGAGAAAATAAGAAGTGAAAATGCTGATACGGAGCATCGGAATTCTTATCACCGGATTCTGCGCGCCTTCCAGTCAGTACGAATGCATTCCATATAGTGCAGAATGTTTTCTATATGTTATAGTGTTGTGTGTGTAGTTCTATATATTGTGCGGAATGGAGGGACTCTCAAGCAAACAGTGTGTGGCAGGAAGTAATCATTGAAGAGCCAGTAAGAAGATTAAGTGTAGAAATGGGAATAGCTGTAAGCTCCACTACTCGAACAACCGCCAAAATTTCTTGGAACCTGTCGAGTGACTTAGTTCCATCACGTATCAGACCTGTGGGATTCAAAATCAATAGGATATCCACAAATTGATGATATGGTTAGGAATGTTGATACGTTCATATGTTGATAATGTGCAACGAAGAGCCATATCAATCGACAAAGGATGATAAGATGTCGATGAGGGCATTAACACCGATTTTTTTTGTAATTAAATCTCTTTGCACTGCTTTCTCAAGTCAGGCGCGCAGTACTGTGCGCCAGCCAAACTGGTACATTATACATTACATTGTTCCTTCCCTTTAGTTACTTGAGGTTGTTCTACTCGTTTTGGTTATCCTCCGTCGTTCCTAAGATTATATTTGGTTAATGGATCGCTCACCTTCATCCCATTGAGATTATGTTATTTCTCTGGTTGTCAAGGTTACCTTGAAGATGATATTATCCTACTATATATAATCCGCTGTGTCTGTGTGTCTGTCTGTGTGTGTGTCACGAAATTCATAACACCTGTCCCAGTGGCAGAAAGACGTTGATTCCAGGAAGTGATGGAGGGGGTGTGACGGGAACACCATTGGTGGGTGACAGGATGTGATATCAGTTGATAAGATCCGATAAGAGACGCCCAAAGGGGATGGTCATTTATTGTGCGGGCCACAGCAGCAGTGGGACTTTGGTTCCGAGCTGTGAAATAGGGGGTGTGACGGGAACACCATTGGAAGGTGAAAGGATGTGATATCAGCTGATAAGATTTGGTAATGGGCATTAGAAGCGAAGGATGTATAGTGCGGCTCACAGCAACAGTAGGACCTCAGATACCTGAGGTGATATAGGATGCGGGACAGGAACATTATTGGCGGGCGGCAGAAAGTGATAACAGTTGATAAGATACGATAAGCGGCCTCGGGAGGGGAGGGGCATCAAATTCGTAGCGCAGGTTACAGCAACAGTGGTGGGACCTCGGATCCGAGAGGCGATATAGGGTGATATGATAGTGATACGGGACGGGAATATTATTGGCGGGTACGGAAGTGATAGAAGCTAAAAGTGACAAGGTAACATGGAAAAATCCGCTTCACCGCTCACAACAACAATGCGATCGATATGACTCAGTATAATAACCTCAATGATTCCAACAGAACTCATTCCTCACTGCTTATTAGTAACGACATCATGTACGACCGCTAAGCTAGCTCTATTCCAAATGGATGGGGTTTGTTTACAGAGATGTTATGAACAGCAGCAATTGACTTAATCACCCTTACCACAATTATCTTCCATCAACGACATTGGTGGGGCCATTTACTGCTGAATGCGGGAGTGCCTTCCAAAGCAAGACATTTTAGGAGGGCAGAGTGCATAAATTATAGGCTGCTTCAACGGCCATCCCAACAGGCTGCACTATTCCCGTAGGTGGGTTAGAACGCACCAGTCGGATCGCTGTCTAAGGCCGGCTCTCCTCCTGTGACGCGCAGGGCGCTGCTGCTGCTGCTTCTGCATCTTGGCGGAATGAGCGCTGCTTTTCAGTTCTTAGCTGATGTAGAAGATTCCTTTGAACAGTGTGGGTGGTCAACGATCAGTAGCCTAGCATGCGGCAAATCCGCATGGTCCGGCGAAGCCGGGCCGTGTCACAGAAGGAGGAGTGCCCGGCGACAGCTGGGCGATCCGACTGGTCCGTTGTAATTGTGTTGTTACATGATAATGCACTAAAGTTCAATTACCCAAAGTTAAGGTTTGGTTCTTACAAAAACACACTGGACTATGGCCTGCCCACTATTTTACTTCACGTATTTTTAACTTGCGGAAGCAGTACTTCTTCCATGCTTGCCTGCATGACATATGAGCATATCCAAAGAAAGCGTTTGCTTAAAAATGAGCGTGTGGCGTGCCTCTGAGACGTTTTCAACTGCTTATTTGGTTTCCTTTTTCACTGGTCTTACATCTACCTATGATCTAATAATCTCTGGAGCTCTGGAGTGAGCTCCAGAGCTGCGACAGGCGATCGCGGGTGCTTTTTTAGGCACACTATTAGCGGAAACTGGGCGTGCAAAAAAGAAATGGAAGATGAAATGACGAGATCACAAAGATCTGATAGATCAGTATGTAACATAGCGATCTGGAGCAGAAGGATAAAGGCGGAGATTGACAGACGTGGAAGACTCTTAGCGTTCCTACCGAGGATTCTCGATGATACTCTCTGTTTTGCATAAAAAGCTACCTTGTACATGTAAGGGTTTTTGCATGTCCAGTGAATGGGAGTGTGTCTTTAAGGACACAAAACAACTAAGAGATAACCATTCTTATCAGCTGATATAGTTCTACTGATGTTATGCTCTGCTGTTTGCTACTGCTATAATTATGATGATCGTGCCTGAGTGACGCCTCCATCCGCCCAGTTCGAGCAGACTGTTCGGATCCAGCAACAGCCTCTACGATTTTGCTGTGTTTAATGGCGGGCCTGCCTGGAAAAGGATGTGTCTTGCAGAGCACCCGGTTAATAAACATGAGTTACACAGAAAAGTAATAGTGATAGAAGCTCAAGACAATCCATGCCTGCAATTCCAGCTATCACTTTTAAATTTTGAAGAGGGGTGAGCAAAGGATATAACGAATCTTGCCGAGAGCAAAAACCTAGTTCCTGAAAGCAAAAAGAGTCTTTCTCTGCTACCGACCTTGAAGAATTAAGAACGAAAGTTTGTGAGATAGGAGGCGCACGTACAGCATGTCTCAGAGACGCACGTGACACCATGAACGGAATGTTTTTGGTAAAGTTGCTCTTACTTTATAATTTAGCCTATGTATACTTCAGCCTTCTGACACATTTCAGCCCCTTTCTTATTCCTTCTAGGTCTGTCACAGTAATAAGGAAAGTTACGTAAAAGGAAAGGGTGAAAATTCCTGCGATCTTCGGCTTGAAGGGGCCCCCAGGGGTGGACGCCGGGCACACTATCGCGTTGTGATAAATTTCTGCTAAATACGATTCCACGCCAACAAGGAAGCTCGATATGACCCTCCTCCTGACCCCGCTGATCTGGTGAACGATGTTATGCCCAAATGATGAACAATTAACTGCTGACAGATTTGTGTCGCACGAATGTACCAGCACTATACTGTTTATCTGCCATCAGATGAATTGAAGTGCCGGCACCTCTATGTGGCATGGATCTGCCAGAAGTTGAAAAATGGAATCTTCGCGAAATTAAACGACGCGAAGAAAAGAGATGAGGGTAATCAAGGGTAAACTGCCAGGAATACGAAAAAAAAACTGAGGTCACTACAGCCAAAGGATGTAGAAGATTAAGGATGAACTATAATAAGGCTCAAAAAAAAGTAAAGAGGGAAGTGCTTCCCCAGCACTTGGACGCTTGTCCAAAGTCGCAGCTAAAGCACGCTTTGCGCCGTGGTATTGGAGCGAGCTATTCCGAGGCAGAAATTCAATTCCAAGCCAAGCATTCCGGAAGTACCC